ATATGTGATATGTGGAAATATATCTTGACAAATATCCGATTAGTCGACGTTAATAAAATAATGACTAGAATGACATATAGGTTAGGAGGTTTGGTGTCACTGACTCAAAACGATATAGTTTTAGTAAAACAACGTCGCTTTTATTTGGGAAAAAAAATTGAATGAGAATTAGCCTCTAATGCTCAACATATTTTTTCTTGGATTTTCAAATAAACAAAGATATCGTCTGCGAGAATTATAAAAATTTCGTCCAAATGGATTAGCCATAATACAAGGAATTATTTCTGTAATTTAATACTATGTTGCACTTATGTAAAAAACAAACTTTTTTTTTATTTGAATAAAATTTTACATTCAATTAAAAGAAAAACAAAAAAACCTAATACAAAGAATTTTGGACCCTATTAATTTTGCCACGAGTCAAATCTTCTAATCGGGCTTTTTCTTGGGCCTCATTTAATTGCTGATAACACCATTGTGTATCTAGTTGGACCTTTCTAACTGGATTCGTTTTAAATTTGCTAATAGTTATGATCTATCATATATGTATCTCCTTTGTCATTCCTCATTTATTGTGAAGAATGAAAATAAATAATGTAAGGTAACAATAACATATTACATGCAACGGTCCACACACGAGTATGAGTAGGTGACTGCCACTTAACCTGCTTTATTGCATTCCATTTGGACCGATTACAGTGAGAAACCATCAATTTCATTCGATACGAAAACTACTACTAAAAATTTACATATAGCTTCCATCTAGACAGGCTTCATTTGAGCATCATATATAATAATAATATAGACAAATAAAAAATGTGATCGATGGATTGAAAAAATAAAGAATGTGATGGTTCAAGGAATAACGTTGTCCACTAAAATTGCTACACAACGTAATTAAGCCAATATTATTTCAGTTTCTAGTTGTGATTTCTTTCTTTTAATTCTTTTTTGCCTTATTGGGATCGAAGCCTATTTGTGAATCTGTCTGTATGTATGCCCACACATGGATTTCTGTGACCTAACGATTTATTTAACTCGTAAAAAACAATAATTGTCCAACTTGAAGACTTTTTTTTTTTTGAGAAAGTGAAGACATATAGTATTAGGTCAATTTGTTATAGGATTTAGCCACATAAAGGTATTTGCTTAATTTTGAATTATAATTTATTTTTAGGTTATCTAGCCAATTTATCCTATAGTATTTGACATATAAAATTAATTATGTGTATATTTTTTTTTACTGTCAGGTGGATTTTGGTTTTTAAAAGATACTATCATACCGGTGGATCCATTTTTTATGAGGGATTTGAATACTCTGTCATTTCCAATTACAATGCTTAAAATTTTTTTTACTAAACACAAAATGCGAACACAAAAAAAATGCTGCACAAAGTTTAAAAATTCATTCGGTTATCTAATACTACTATAATTGTTTCATTAGAACTTTTAGGGTCATTTGTAGTTTATACTCATTTGTTATCTTAAGACAGAGACCACCCAACAGATGAAGATGAAGACTATAACTACGAATGGAGAAAATGCTGTAAGTGTTATGTAAATTTACCACAGACGAAACGATGGAGATGCGATTTTGAAATACGAATATTCTATCTATCTAGATTTTTATGGTTTCTTTTGTGTTGCTTTCCTTGTTGCATGGTCACTATCAGCCTCTTTGATCATCGGATTGGACAATCTTAATGTGTGGCTCTGCTTTGTGTAGAAGCTTTTTGTTGTCGAGAATGGCTTTTTACAAATCAAGATGTATCTACTACATAAGAGACTTTCATTTCACTAGAAGGAAAAAAAGAGAACATGTATCTACACTAGAAGAAAACTTGCTATCTTTTTCAAAAAGAAG